ATCAGGGCAGAGGGCTTGGAGGTTGTAAGATGTCACTCAGATCGTGCTACCGAGCTGTGCAACAAGCGTCTACGTGACTGGTTCTACGAGAGGGGCGTGATCTGTACCACTGGGGAGGCGCAAACGCCTCAACAAAATGGTCGCGCGGAGGCTAGTGTGAAGTATGTGAAGTCTCATTGCAGAACCTTGTTGACAGCGGCCAAGCTCCCAGCTGAGTGCTGGCCTTTAGCTATGTCCTATGCGGTGAACAAACAGCGATATGATGCTCTTGGCAAGACTAGCGAGTTGCCCTCGTTTGGGGCGCCGGTCCATGTTCGCACCAAGGTCTATGGAAGAGCAGGACGATATGATGTTGAAAACAAATGGCGTCAGGGCGTCTATGTGGGTCCGTCTTCGGACGTGCAGCATGGTCATTGTGTGAGGTTTCCGGATGGGACCTTTGTGACGAGTTTGCACTTAAAGGACCAACTTGTGGACGCAGATGCTTTAGTGGACTTGGTGCCCAGAGAAGTTGAGCTACCTGTACCTGAACGACGGTTGCGAGGCAAACGACGTCTTGCTATGTCTCATGTTCACCCGCTATCCATTCAGGAAGAAAGGGCAGAGGTCAAGGCCAAGCAGATGTTGAAGAATGAGGAATTTGGTGTTGATTCCATTCTGCAGCTGTTTGAGTTGATGAAGGAGATCAAGATCAAGCAAGCGAGGGGCCGGGCAGCTTCAAAGGGCATTTCCTGGACTACTGGGATGTTTGTACATGGTGGAGTTGCTGGTCTCAGGGGAAACACTAAAAGGATGAAGTGGACCACGAAGTACCTGGTTGAAGCGGGGAAGAAGCTCGCTGGGAACAATCCGTTCGCGGCGGTGGGCATTCTTGAAAACAAAAACATGGGTTGCCACAAGGATTCCCACAACGAGGTGGACAGCATGAATACTGTGGTCATGTTGAAAGCGCCAGATACGGGTGGTGAGTTGTGGCTTGAGGACGAAGCGCTACACCACTCGGAGGCTGACTGGAAGCAAGTGTCCAGGAAGCTTTGGAAAAAGGGCGCATGCCATGAACTAGCAGTGGGCCAGCCCTATGTGTTCAACCCTCGTCGATGGCATGAAGTTCAGCCTTGGGAGGGTGACCGTGTTGTCATGGTGCTTTACAATCCTCGTGCAAGCCATCTTCACTACCAGGACAAGGATGATCTAGAGTATGTGGGTTTTCCTTTAAAGAATGACCTTGAGATCCCCAGCGAAAACCACATGGTACAGAATGACATTGAGATCCCCAGCGAAAACCACAGTCCCACGGATGAAAATGAGACCCAGGATCCAGAGGCCGATGATCAGCTGTATGCCTATGGTCACCCCGAGCTCTACTTGATCCAGCCGTTGGAAACAGAAGAAGGTGGTTCTCTTGATGATGCTTTACTCGCCCTGACAGAGGAACAAGATCACCTAATTCAGGACTTGCAAGATCGTTCCGACAGACTACGATTGTTGCTTGAGGAGGAGCAGGTCCTGCTAGAGGAGTGCCGTCAGGCGGGTCGCGCAGTTACGGATGAGATCGAGAGTGCCACCGCCGCCATCGAAGACATGATTCAGGAGGTGGTGGAGCAGCAAGCAATCAAGGAGAATGAGGCGGGCAAGACGTTCCTCAAGGCTGCTGAGGTCACCGACGACATTGACTACGAGCAACTTCTTCGAGATTTGGATGGTGATTTGGAGGTGGTGCATACAGTACCGCTACCACAAGTGAGAGCTGCTCTAGACCAATGGACAGAAGCCCTCGAAAAGGAAGTCAAGCAGCTCCTTGGTGGAACGTTACGTCCTATGCCGATTGCCAGAGCGAAGGAACTAGAGAAACAAGGGCTTCTTCGTTTGGTTCCTTCAAAAGGGGTGTTCACCCTGAAACCTCCAGCTGAAAAGGGGCGCAAGGTGCGCCGGAAATTCAGACTCGTCCTATGCGGAAACCACGTACAGCCCGATTGCGAGTCTGGAGAACTATACGCCGGTGGAGTTTCAGCAGACACAGTGAGATTGTCGTTGTCATTTGCTTCCCATAAAAGATGGTCTGGAGGAACTTCAGATGTTACAGGTGCTTTCCTCCTAGCAGAGTGGCCAGGGCATTTGGCAAGGTATGCCATTTACCCTCCAAAGATTTTGGTGGAGGCAGGTCTCGCAGATCCTCAAGATGCGTGGGAGGTAATCAGACCTCTGTACGGCCTGAGGGAGTCGCCTTCGATATGGGCGAAATGGCGCACAGCTCGACTACGTGATGCACGGATCAACTACAAGGGCCGAGTGATTGTGTTGAAGCAGTCAACAGCAGACCCCGAACTTTGGCTTGCTTACGATGAGAGCAACACTTTGAGATCTAAGGGGACGCTTCTTGCTCTGCTGATTACGTATGTTGATGACTTGCTTTACTTGGCCGAGCGCTCCCTCGTTGAGGCTATCCATGATTGGGTTCAGCAAGAATGGCCTTGCTCTCCGCTTGAGTGGGCCGATGGTGTTCATGGAACTCGGTATCTCGGGATGGAAATCAAACAAGTGCCGAGTGGAGCTTTTGAGCTATCTCAGACCGGCTACATCCGAGAGCTGTTACGGAACTATGGCATGGATGATGCTGTGGAAACCCAGTTGCAATGCCCGAAGGACTGGATCAATGACGACGAGCCGGACGAGGTTGAAAACTTTTCGAGTTCAGAACTCAAGGCAGCTCAACGAATTGTTGGTGAGCACATGTGGCTTACTCTTCGTTGTCGTCCAGATCTACAATTTCCGGTTATGCAGATGGCGTCAAAGGTCAGCAAGCAACCGAATCGAGTTCTACAGATAGGCAAGCGCCTGTTGTGTTACCTCAAGGCGACGCAGTCTTTGAAGCTCGTGATGGGTGTAGACTGTGAAAAGAAGGCCGACGGCAGCAGCACCACGGAACACCACGACAGCAAACACGGCAGCAGCAGGAACGATGCACACCCTACAGACAACAGCGCGCACCTTTACGCATATTCTGACGCCAGTTTTGCACCGTTTGGTGAGAGATCATTTGGTGCATGTGCAGTTGTTTATCAGGGATCGATCATCTCCTGGAAAGCTTCACGACAAGCCTTCGTTACCTTATCGGTGATGGAAGCTGAGTTGTACGAGACAACAAATGCTGTAGTGCTGGTTGAGAACGTGGGCTGCCTGCTGGATGAAATTCTGGGAGAAAGGGCTATGCGGATATTGAAGGTTGACAATGCCAGCGCTTTAGCATTGCTTCAAGGTGGACCAGGTTCGTGGCGCACACGCCACCTAAAGGTCCGGAGTGCCAAGCTGCGCAACATGGTTGAGAATGGTGAACTGTTTCCGGAGCATGTGGCCGGAGAGCTACAAATTGCTGACCTTGCTACAAAGATGCACCCGAAGATGCGTTTGTGGGAGCTGCTGTCTCTATGGGGCTTTCGAAGCCTACCGAAAGAAGCTGTAAGGGCCCTGAATGCGAAGGGTGTATATCTGTCTGTACTTATGATCGCGATGATGATGCAGACTGTGAGGGCAGAGGAGACAGCACCAGAAAGGACACGCCTGCAATCTGTCGGAATGGATGAGCTGCTTGTGGTTACCATTTTGGTCTGCGTTGCTGCTGTCGCTACATGGGAGGCGGTGAAGTGGATGGCACGTTGTGTGAGAGATTCGCTAAAGGAGTCTCCGAAGCAGCGGCGTTTGCGCAAGTTGAGAGAGGCTGCTAAGGCAGCAGCTGAGGAGGAGGTGGATCGAGGATTTCTGTCCAAAACCAGCACCGAACGTATGGAGATCTACGACAATGAGCCCGGATCAAGTACGGACATTCCACCACCTCCTCCCCCGCTTGAAGCAGTAAGAAAGGCCAAGACCAGTAAAAGGATTGTGGAAAGGACAGCGTCGCCGCCCCCACCGCCGGTACCGGAGTTTGAGTTGTATCCAGAGGGAGGCTTTTACAAGACGGTGTCGTCGAGGTCAAAGCTTCATACAAACCCTCACTGCCATGGACTGAGGAATTCTGGCGATGTGTATGCAGTCGAGTACTGTGCGTATTGCCAAAAGAATGTTCCGCTGTACACAAGAAGGAGTAGATCCCTTCAACCTTCCAGGTCACTCTAGCTGTTTGAACGAGGAACCTCCAGCTGTACGTGGAACGATGCATGATGGAGGCTGTGGAGCGGCCTCGCACTACGAACCTTGTTTGATGGTCGATGCTTTGTGATCAAATGGCAAAATGCCCTTTGATCAAGGAGGAGTGTTGATGTCTGATGTTTCGATGTGTGTGCGTGCCGAGGCCTTTGAACGGATCTGTCGATCCAAGAGAGGATGTTCCGCATACATAAACATCGCTTCAGAAGTTTCGCTTAAGGCTGTAAGGCAGTGCTCGCAAAGCAAATGCAGGCCACAGCTGACAAGACTTCAGGCGTTGTTGTGAAAACATTTGTCCTTTCAATTCGCTGAGCCATGGTATTGATCTAGCTGAGAAGAACATATGGCCGAAGCTTCCTCGTCGAGAGTAGACCCAGCAGTTCGCGATCCCCAACAACAACAAAAACATACAAAACCTTACATGGCTCCGAAGCTCTGAACGTCCGGCATGGGGGCTGGATTTAGGGTTTAGGATTTACCTAACATGAGAATCGAGTTTTGGTGTATGTATATTCGACTATAGTTATAAAACGGAACCTCTAGATAGCATTGGAAACTATCTCGGCCGCCTTTAATATTGCTGTACAGGGATTCACGGGCTGTGCATCCAGGCTCCAGTGCTGCTGTTGCCACTTTGGCTTTATCAGTTTTTCTACCATTCATGCAACTTCCCTAAACCCTAAACCTTAGAAGCTGCCCCCACCCTGTAATAGTGACCATAAGGATTATATTAGGGCCCTATTATATTCCTATTATACCACTATCACTATTACAGGGTGGGGGCAGCTTCTAACCTAAACCCGAAACCCTAAACCCCAATATCCCAACACTGGAAAACAAATCCATCGCCGGGGCGCTGCACCGCTGCCAAAAACCTCCACGACCTTGCCCACCACACGCTGCTGTCGCAGCAACTCCGTCACCTCAGAGGTTTAGGGTTTCAAGTTTAGCCGTCCAGTCTCCAGTGAAGTGTTGGGGCCCACGGATTTGGGGTTGTGATGTTTGGGTTTTGAAGCCTAGTGCTTGTAGGAGTTGTGAGCCATTGGCTCTTTTCGCGCAAGCCTCTGTCGCTTGCATCTGGGAAACGAAGCCTCAAGCTCCCCGAGTCCATGATGACACCCTGGTCCTGATAATAAGGATCCTACATTTAAAGTACTACAATAGGGTCCCCATTTTCGGAAACTCTCGTATGGCTTTCAGCAGGCCAGCGATCCATTTTGTTGTCTTCCCCTCTGAGCTCTTTCGGCGCGCAATGCCTAATTAAGGCATATACCTTAAATTATCACGGGATTCATATTATGGTTGAACCTAAACCCTAAACCCTAAACCCTCAACCCTAAACCTATATTCCTTAATTAAGGGGGTATTGGGCTCTTTGGGGTCCTGTTTGAGGATCCGGTGCCTCTGATTTTCGGATCAGACCAAGGCTTTTTTCATGGGGACCCTCAAAGGGAACTCCAGAAAGTTGGAATATGGATTAATGGTAGGATCCCCTATAATTTACCTTAAAGGGGTTACGATAATGATATTCCGACCTTCTGGCTTCTACTGTAGAGGGGTTAGGGGGGACGATGCTTCCTTAAATAGGGCTTGTTAAATCCTTATTATGGGTATCAAGACCCCTGCCCCCCTAAGGGTCCTTGTGGATTTGAGCACCAGGTGCCACTTCTCACGGCAGAGTCATGAGCCTGCCTTTTGATTGCGGTGGGTTCAGGCTGAGCGAAGCACCAAGCTAAACCCTTGCAGGGCAAGCAAACTCCACCAAAAAATGTAAGTTTGGTGTCTGTCGAAGGCTTCCCCGAATGAACTCTATCTCCTACCATCCAGACCCCTATACTGGCCCTATACCGAAGGTTTGACAGGTTTCTGGTTGTGAACCCAAACCGTCCGGCCAGGTCTCATTTTTGTTATACATCAAGGCCCTCTCGGGTTTGCGGCGGTGGTCGGGCGTTTCTTTTGGAGGGTGTTTTGCGGTGTTGGGGGGAGCGAGGTGGGCATCCAGGCATTTGTGATCTCAGAGATATACACTTGGAGCCACTACAGGAGGATGGGGGATTCTGCAGAGACTCTCAATCCCAGCCTCTCAGCCCCAAACCCGAAGAAATACCGGCAAAGCTCAAGTCCCAGCCGAGCAGCAGTAAGCACCAGGTCAGTGGCCTCGGGATGCTCAAGGCAGGTGTTTCGTGCTTGGAAAGACAAACAAACACAGAACGCAGTTTTCGCCGATGCTACTGCTTCGGGTTGAAAAGATAGAGACATGGCCTAACTGCCGCCGAAGTTCTCCACGTTTCACTTTGTTGGAACCCTATCAGCTTCAGTAACTCTGGTACTACAGAAGCCGGAAGCATTACCAATACTAATTTTGGGGGCTTCTGATTGTAACTATGGTAGAATAAGCCCCCAAACCTTATTCTAAGTATTAAGGACCCTACATTATTTATATAGCTTGTCGGCCGAGGAGTGCGTGAGCCAAGGGAGAAACTGGCAGTGGGGGTTTGAACTTCCTGTTCTGAATCCTATTGCAGTTCATGCATAGTTGCCATCCAGCCAAAACGCACGATGCCACAAAATGGTATTCCTCACAAGACTTGTCAACTTTCATCAACTGACTGTTGCAAGCAAAAAAGCTCTTCGCACTCTTAAGGATTCGCGGAGAGTGTGGACAGCATCTTGTTCACAGACCACGACATGTGGATTCAGCGCTGTCGGAGCAACCTGATGCTGAACGCCTTGTTGTTCAAGTTGACACGCGGGCGATCAGGATTCGCGGCACAAAGATGCCACGCATACCCCTTGACATCTCTTATTGCCTGAATGTGTGAGCTTCTTTCGGCGATGACGACAGCTAGTACCAAGACCGGACTATAGAATACAAGGACTCTGGCACTACAACGCAGGTGGAAGTAGCAGAAACCGGCCTATTGAAAATGTTAAACCCTAAACCCTAAACCCTAAACCCTAATACTGTCAGCATCATTGAATCATGCAACCCCTCGCAGTGAAACTCAAGAGAAACCACCGGGGCCCCAAAAGTAGACCGGAAAATGTGTCGCTCCTACCGAACTAGCAAAGCGTAATGTAGGGGCCTGAATAATTAGACTAGGGCTCTGGGCTCCCTTATAGTACAAGTTTAACAAGGAACCCCCAAAATCATGTAGGTAATTATTTAGGCATCTATATTACAACCAAGGCACCGTCACACCCGGAGCCAATTGCCCGGTGAGCTCAAGCCCAACCACTTCCTGAGCTGCTCAGCATAATCAGACCACATCATATGGAAGTTTTCGACAGTATTTTAGAGGTCCTTCTACAAGGATCCTGGTATTTAGGATACGATATTAGGGTCCCCTATTTCCAGCAACTCCCATTTGCGTCCGGCAACGACAAGACAGCGAAGGGCAGTGTGGAACAGACACCATCATCCTCATCCTCATCCTGAACAGCATCATGACTCTCATCATAGAGCCTTAACCCACCAATCCTTCGCCGCAGCCCTAAATCCTTAAAGCCCACAAACCTCACATCCCAAGCCCGAGAACCTACGCAAACCTGAACAGCGCACAAGTGTCGGGGATGAGAGAGGCAGTCGGCTGGCCCAGCATCGCAGCCTCAACTTCGAGACCTGCAAGTGGAGGGGTGTGGTAATGTAGGAGCCTGATTAAAGAAACCTTGGGCCTAGACTATAATTACAGTAAGGAACCCGCAAAAAAGCATAGGCAATTATTGAGGCCCCTAGATTAGGGTTTAGGGTCCACATGAAGGGGTTGGGGTCGCCGGCATCCCACATTTGCAGATGTATGTGCGTCACTGAACTCCAAAGAAATGCCATAAAGTCCCAGTGGCACAGCCCTCAAATACCTGCAATGCTGTACATGCGCACAGACAACAGTGCACGTGCCAATCATATAAAACATATATGGTGTTAGCACACATGTGTGCTCGCACAGATGCAAATATGCCTGTGTCAAGTGATAAGTTGAACATGTGAGTGTGTGTGGGTGTGTGTGGGTGTATGTATATATGTATCTATGACCAGGGAGAAAGAGAAAGACAGAGAGAGAGAGAGAGACAGGAACAGCGAGAAGAATCGAGCGAGAACGAGGGAGAGGGAGCGGGAGAGAGAGAGAGAGAGAGAGCGAGAGAGAGAGAGAGAGAGAGAGAGCGATGCTACGAGAACCAACTGGAAGCCGAGAAGTGAAGGAAACTGAAACCGACATTCATGTAGAAAATCAGTTCACATCATATTGTCTTCTGTACAGAGAATGAGAAAATCGACACTGCTTTGAATGGGTGCTATCAAGAGTTTCGATGGAAATAGACCGAAAAATGAATTAGCAGCTAATTATTAGCAGCGATAATATCAGCAACTATGCTAGCCAGTACAATCATTGCAAGACTAATTAGTCCCGTTCGTGCAGCCAAACCGTACGAGCGGTCAATATACGTGTACACACGGACAGACACGCTTCAACTTTGTTGACACACGCTGCAAGATGTGACACGCTGAACGAGATGGCGATAAAGGTGGTGATGAAAACTGAAATAGAGATGAATGTTTTTGGTACCACTCCTGCCAGAGAGCAGATTCCCGGGCACAACGAATGACAGTGTCGCCCAACTGCCCATGCTGAAGCCCGAGCCCTCCCTCTTTCTCCCTGCAAAACGATGAATGTGAAAAGTAATGCAGGAACCTAGTTAAAAAACCTTGGGCCTGTATTAGGGCTCCTTATATGAATCCTACTCTTTTAGGGTTGCAGGCCCAGGCTTTCTTAATCCGGTTCATACATTGATGTGTGTGGGAGTGGCCGTTCCTTCAATGAAGGGATCAGACACACACACACACACACACAAACGCACACCCGGGCAACAGGCCTCCGCAGCCAAATCCGAATATCCCCATGCCGTTGATCATCGTGGTATGGCCTCGAAAACAAGTCTTGTCATCCTAGCTTGTTGGGCCTCGCCGAGGCGTAGCATTACACATGCTAAGCCCAACCTTGAAGCGGGAAGAGATTCAGCGAGCGAAGCCTGCAAAGGAAGTCACAATGCCGGAAAAACGGTTCATTATATAAATCCTGCATTACCCGAATGACCTTAAACTACGGGAATTATGGTATATTCCTTATAATGGGTAATGCAGGATTTATATCATCGACCGAAGCGCTCAGCCCTCTCGGACCGAACAGACAAAACAATCGGAACTCCCACTTTCCAAGGCAGGAGGAAAGCCTACTGTAGGGACCTTAAGGATAAGGTTCCTATTATAGTTCAAGGGTTCCTATTTAATTTAAGGGATATGGTCCCTATTGTAGTTTAAGGGATATTCCTTGACTAGTACGGCTCCTTGAAAGGGTTCCTGTCAACGGGGTTTAAAAAGGATCTACAATAGGGCAAAACCCTGAACCTAGAACAGGCTAAGCTCGCTTTAGCGTTTAGGGTGTAGGGGTGGCAAGCAGCGGCCCCCCTGCAGAAGTGTGAACATACGAACCTTGCCGCGATGCAACTATCCTCGACACAGAAAACCTTCCCAAGGAAGGCATGGCACGTAAACAAAGACAGCAGCTGGCCGAGCGCCAACAGGTTGAGAGTTCGGCACAAAACCTAGCAACACTAATGAACACAACAGGGATTTAGACAATAATACGTGCATCAATTTCATCAAGCCTATGACAGAAATTATGCCGCACTGCCTGTGGTCATAATCACATGACCGTCGTGCCACTTACCATAGCAACAACATCCTTTCTGGCCGCAAAACCTACCCAAATCCTAAACTTCAAACCCTGAACCCCAAAGCCTAGCCTGAGTCAGAAGCCCCAAACCACCAGATTTCGCCCGCTTGCTACAAGAAGTCCCCAGCTCAGAACCGCCTTCTGGGACCTAAACCCTACACCCGAAGCCTCAAATCAAGGGATTAAAGGAGGGACCTTATAAGGGACCATAAGGGGTTCTGTGGGGGTTATTGAGGGGCTACTTAGGCATATAGGGGTTCTGGAAGGGCTATAAAAGGGTTATATAGGGAAATAAAGTTAAGTGTCAATTCTAGGGGTCCCTCCTTATACCCCCCTAGTCGGAAAACATCTGAAGACTGAGCTTGGGGCTGTCTGTGCCCACGCAGGCATCGGGGAACACCGTACCGTCTTGGACCAGTGCTACCTATAGCGTTTAGGGTTCAGGGCTTCGGGTTTATAGGGTTCCGGGTGAGCGATTAAGCTTTAAAGTGTCTTCAAAAAGGCCCGAACAGTTTTCAAACCACCTCGGCAAGGATATCATGATTGCTGTTGGGAGTTGGGATTGCTACCGTTCTTGACAACAAGCAGGATGGCTTGCGCTAATTGCTTCATAGTTTCGATATCACTTTAGCCATAAGCTTTAAGCCTTGCTTACCATAAGATCGACCCAGTGAATCAACATGATTGTAGCACCATTCCATGTGTCTGCTGCAAGTTCTGTGACGATTGCTGTTCCTATCGTGATTGCCGTGATGATTGACGTGCTACCCTGAACCCTGAAAACCAATTAGCTACTGTCATCGCTGTAGGCTTTTAGGCGAGCGTTTCTGAGCTATCATGCCAGAGGAGCCTCGGCAAGCCGCTCGCAATGCACTTGATGCACGATGCCACTGCCCGGGGGCCTCGGGATTAGGGCCTTCTCGATTGTCGGGTTTAGGGCTTCAGGGCTTACGATAAACAAACCGTCGACGGCGGGTGCTAAGTCTCTGTAAACGTATGTGGTTTTTCGGTTTCAGAAATTCGGCCCAATTTTTTTCGGGCAGCTTCGCATTCAAATGCAGAACAAACAACATGAACCTGAAGAGGTGAAATCCTGCTTTTGAAAATCCCGAAAATTGAACCATAAATTTACACCATGCTTGCTGCTGTTATGCTGCTTGTGAATGGGCTTTGTGATCTCCGAAAGCTATGACATCAAGTCTGACCTAAAGCCTAAACCTTACTCAACGCCGCAACCAAGCCCTAAACCCTGAACCTCAAGCCCTAAAGGCCCTAAATTATTACTGCTCGTGCTTTGTATTGTCAACTCGGAAAAATACTTGGGAGGAAAGCTTCCAGGACAATTACCCATGGGGGGTACGTATGCACATACGTTCCTGTACCGGCACGTACGTAATTGCAGTACGTACCTACGTCAGGACTGCATGGCAGGCATGAGGGAGCTATGTATGTACGTACGTACGTGTATCAATGCAAGTATGCATGCATGTTCGGGGGCATTTGCTCGCATGCATCGCTCTTTTTGGGCTGGGGGTGCTTGGGGAGCGTGGGGCACGGTAAGGGGGGGGTATGCATGTATGCATGTACTATATACTTAGGTACCTCAATTTGTGCAGGAGGGGGCTGAGAGCGAGTATGTGAGTGCAGCTTTTAGTAGCTCCACGAGCTCCGAAAGCAGGCGTGAGTATGTATGCATGTCTATGCATGCATGTACGCACGTACAATGTACGTATATACCTCTCAGTTGGCGGGGGGAAAGGATATACATGCGTATGCTGGCACGTAAATTCATTCTGTGACAACACTATAGGTAGGTAAATAAGTAGGTTGGTACGTGCGTACACCTTCGATACGTAGGTAGACACCAACTGTATGCTAGTACATAAATACATTCTATAGCAGCCTTAGGCCGGTAGGGAAGTAGGCACGTACGCACACATGCGCTTGCCCTTGACCAAAAACAATGTGGCTATCTGTACGTACGTACTACGTAGGTACCGCACACAATCGGCGGCGGGAGGAGGGCACGTACGTATGTCAGTACATATAGGCACATTCTGCAATAACCCTTGGAAAAAATGCGCAGGGAAGGAGGCCAGGGGGCGGGGTACGTATGCATCTACGCACGTACATGCACGTACTACGCAGGTACCTCAATTGGCGGGGGTAGGAGGGTACGCATCTATGTTAGTACGTAATTCCAACCCAAATGTTACCGCTGAACAAAAACATGTGGGGTGCTATATGTACAAATGTATGCATACACGTACTTATTACGCAGGTATCTCTGTCGGTTTGCGGACATACGTTTACGCAAAGTTTTGGGGGGTGCACATACGTTGCAGGATGCTATACTACGACTTAGTATATCTTAAGCTTGTTTTTTTTGGTCGGAAGTACCAAGGGTGTGTTGGTAAGAGGAGAGCTCCAGCAGTACGAAGGGTGCGTTAGTAAGAGGAGAACTCCAGCAGCCGCCTTGAGCGACCCTCACACCTCAAAAACACCTTTGTTCTCCTGGTCGGCCCCCGCTGGCCTGCTCCTCCGTTTTCTCCCTGCTGCAAATGCAGAGCGGGGTTTAGGCGAGATCTTGGAAATTCATCTAGCAAAATATGAGGCCACAGCATTTGAGCTCTTGGACCGCGTTTCCTGCAACCCCTTCGCACGTGCTTCCATCTGTGCGATCCCTTCCTCTGTGTCGCCACCGATCTCTCTCATGGCGTTAACGAAGGAGGTGAACGGCATCATAGCCATGAACACATAGCTCATCTGCTGGGGTTGGATGACCAGTTGGATGCCCACAAGTTCCCCTGCTTGGAGTCTTTGACAAGTTCCTTGTACCATACTTGCAGCGTTAATACCTGACCGCACGCACGAAAAAAAGGTTCGGCCTGCCGTCTTCACCGGCGTCGATGATGCATACTGCGCCAAAAAGAAATGCGCTTTCTGCACAAAGCTGTCGTTGTCGGCGAGCTTGACCACATCACTTGCCGAGACGAAAAACAGTGGAGCATCGAAGCAGCGGAGCTCGGTCAATTGCTCAACCAGGACTGGCCGGATGGCGAAGGCCTCGGGGCCTTCTTTGGAATCTTCTGCCAAACCGAATTCGCAGCACCTGCCTTTTGGTGCTGGGTCCTTTTTGTCCTGCTCCTTCTTGTGCTTGCTTTCCCCCCGAATGCTTCTGGGCATTCTCATCATCGGTTTCATTCTTTTCTTGTCGGTTCACTGTGTCCATCACGGCCTGTTGCACCTCCTGCAATGCATTCTTCGCATTGTTCTGCAGAAAGCCAACAGCTCAAGGCACCCTTCACAACCTCATGCTCGGCTGTCAATGCCCCCTGAGATGTACAATCGCTCAGTGCTTCGATGTGCTGGCACATCATAGTCTTGCAAGTGGAAAGGAGTCGAAAGCTTGTCCAAAGCATCATTCAGCTTTTGCTTTCGAACATCTGCGGTTTCGTCATCCTAGAGATCATCCAGCACAAGGTTGCACAGCGGGAGGCGGTCCTCAACCCGCGTGTACTCGGGGATGGGGCCGCGTTCGTTGGCACCTGCCACATCCGAAGACTCGGAAGCGCACAAGCTTAAAAGTGGCTTCCCAAACACACAGATTGACATGGAAAGCCTCCGCAATCTCACGACAAAACAAAACAACTTTTGAGCTCATGGGCTTTGCCGACATGCGTGTTGAAATCCAAGACTTCCCAGAAAGCAAAAGCAGCGAGAAAGTAGGAACGTGTCAAAACTGTTCCCGCCGTGTTTGCTGCCTCGGCCGCTCATGTTGCAACATTTTGCCATTCGGTGCTGGAGATGAGCACCTGCAAGATCAAAGAGTTCATGGGCTTGTCAGCCAAGATCTTTGGGCTAAAACGTCGGACATTCTCCACAAGCGTGATAGGATGGTTCCTCGGTTGTTCGGCTTTTCAACCGGTATCTCGTGTTTTCTGCTGATACAGAACCTCCGAAATTCCATAGGCCGTGAGATCAACTTGATATATCGACGAAGAACGGGATAAAACCTCCGAAACCCAGGAGGCCATGAAGCTATGAGATCAAACTTGATACGAAGAAGAAATCAGAAAGTTCAGAAGCTATGAGATCAAACGTGATATGATGAAAAAGTTGGAGAGCTCCTAGGTGTTTGACCCAAATCGTCGAGATAAACCTGATAAAACCTCCGAAACCCCATAGGCTGCGAAATCAAATTTGACATGGAAAGGTCTGAAAGTTCACAGGGTTTTCCAACCAATATCATGTGAGAGAAAGCCTCCGAAGATCCATAGGTTTTCGGCTTTCTACACCAGGAGCAGCAGCTGCACAAGTACGATGCAAGATACAAACAAGCAAGAAAAATAGGCTTGCAGGCAACAGTCGTTCGGGTTGCAGTCAGGCTCATACACCTGCGAAGAAGCGTTCTTCCAGCGCTTATGCGTGCGCCAATGCAGCTTGGCCACGATCCATCTGAGGCTCGGCTCAGCATCCTCTCCCACTCCGCAGCTTCTGGGCCTTCACTCAGTGCCCGAAGCTGCGCCCGACGGTCGCGGATCATATCAGAGGCAAAATCGTACAGGACCTGTCGCACACTGAGAAACTGCATGATGGAGTGCACAAAGAGCAAAACCTGACTCACGGACTCCGCGGAGTACATTGGTCGCAAATCCACCATGCGCAAACATGGGGTCACGGCCACCAGGATGCTACAAGTCGGCCGCGACATGATGCGGTCGCACGCAGGTCCGCACGATGTCCACTTAGTCAAATCATGCGGAGTGCGCCCCAAACGATGACCTGGGGTGCGGCAATTACGGCCAGTGCATGCAGGGTAGAATCACAAGCATGGGTTGGTAATGGTAGGTACATTGGCAGGTGGTATGTAGGCAGTTAGGTAGGCACGAACCTACGCTTACCGGTTGCGGAAGGGGGCATGTATACATGGTATACATGCATGTATTTGTATACTACATAGGCACCTCAGTTGGCGCGAAGGGGGTACGTACGTCTGTTAAACTACGTGAGTACGTTCCATATAGTAGCTCTGGGCGGTACATGGGTCGTACGCATGCGCCTGCCCCCGCACGAAGAAAGCGGGGTGTATGTATGTATGTATGTATGTATGTATGTGTTCATGTATGTATGTATGTATGTCCGTACGTACTTTGGGGTTCCTTATGGGGTCTGGACGGTTTTGCCGCGATGTTACACGTTTTGTGAGCCTGTTGGTCTGCGAGACTATATTGCCCCCGAAACTGGCTACAATGTATGACTATACAGTTGATTGCCTGCAGACACACAGCGCATGAAACTGTCGGGGTGACAGTATCTCCACATATCTCTCTGTGCTGCGTATATACAGGCCTCGTATGCTTTTCATTCCACTGAACCTTTAAAGGTTAGAGCTTGCATGCCATGTGACACGAGGTTGAAGTTCTGAAAGCTCTGCTGTGCCCACTTCAAGAACTGGAAGCGGTCGGAGTTGCGTTCCATTTCAATCTCCATGTTCCTGCCAGACTCGCTGGAGGCCGTCACTTTCATGCGAGCGCTTGCAGACGCGGTTTAGGGTTTAGGGTTTAGGGGCACTTGCTTCTGAGGGGCCCTGAAGACTCTGCAATGCCCCTGACAATTCGCTGGAGCCTTCTTGAAAAGACCCTGAGCAAGTTTGCTTCCCCCGCACAGGCGATGACAGCTAAGACGGACGGTACACTCTCAGGGAGGCTGCATGGAGCCCTTGCCGCGGCCCCAACTGCACATCCGACACCGCTTGGGGCCTGTAGACCAACAACCGAAAGCCACAACTAATACAGGGGCCTTTCTGCATAGAAGAGTGCTCTTGAAGGTATGTTATACTATGTTCATACTTCGGAAGCCTGAGGGGTGCTATTAATTATCGAGGCTTCGATGTTGGCCTTCATGTCGGGCGCACCTTCGGAGCGCGTCCGGTCTTCCCGCAACGTCCACGGCGACGGAGTGGTCAACGACCTGAGATCTTCCACGAGGTAGCCTGCCTCCCAAGGATACCCTAAACCCTAAACCCTATAAACCCCTAAACCTTAAACCCTGAACCCTAAAGCCCTAAACCCTAAACCCCTAAACCCTAAACCCCTGAAGCCCCAAACCCTAAAACCCCAAAACCCTAAACCCTAAACCCCTAAAAAATAAAAGCCTGAACCCTGGACCCTGAATCCTAAACCCTCAGTTCACCGCAAAGCCAGCCTCGCCAGTTTACTAATACAATACTGACACAAACACTCAGGCGAAGAAGAAGAAGAACAGTAGTAACAGTAATCAGGATAAAGATAAAGAATAAGATAAAAGTTAACAGAAAAATAAAGATAAAGGTAAATATGAAGAAAGATAAAGATAGCAATGGCAATAGCAATGGTAATGAGTAATAGTCCTCGTGATAATAGCAGTAATGACCCTAACAAAGAAACTCAATAAATTTGACAATGATGGAGACCGCTATAGCACCAGCACCAGCAACAACAAGAACAACAGCAGCAGCAGCAAAACAAATGACACTACATCGTAACGAAAAGTAGCATGAACACACCGCGTACTACGAAACGAACACAGAAAGGACAAGAAGGCTGGCCAGGCACCAAGTCCACCCGTCGCAGCGGATTGACTCTCGATGGGTCGCCGCCTGGCGTGCAAAAACAGCAGCCTCGACTGTGGTTCGACATCCCGAACTTGACACTTCTCATCCCGGACTGTACTGTAGGATTCAGAATCATCATGACAAACCTGCGTGCCAGCCAGAGTGATTACGAAAGGCTTCGACCGAGGCTGTGTCCATAATAACCTCCCATCCAGACGCGAACTCCGTTGATAATTATGCACCGTATGTGGAGGTTTCCGAAAATGGGGGACCCTAATATAGCATCCTAAATAGTAGGATCCTTATTGAAAGGACCCCCAAAACAAGGCCCCCCTAATCTTCGGAAACTCCGAAATCCTCCCCGTGACCGAGCCCCCGTTCTCTTGACCTTTGAGAGGCCACGGTTGCACGATGGAAACCCTGTGGCTGCTCGGGTCCGGATCCCGGGATTCAGCGCACAGCTTGAGGGGTGAGGAGGGGTGAGATCCCCAAAAGAGGCCTATTTGCACTCGCATCCACATCATCATCCTCATGAGTCCTGAAGCCATTGGCCAGACTTCCCAAGAAGCCCCCAAAGCCCAAAGGTAAACCCTGAACCCTGAGCCCCAAAAACCCAAAGCCCCAAACCTAAAGCCGTGACCTTAAAAACTCAAAGCCGAAAGTCGCGAAGCAAGCTTAAGGGGGGCTTAAAGGGGGGGGGGCCTTAGGGGCTTAAAGGGGGCCTTCAAGGGGCTTCAGGGGCTGAAAGCCAGGGCCTCGCGCTTGCACCGCATCTCGCATGGCGCAGAGATCAATCAGCACCTTCGAACGGAGATCTGGGCCCGGAGGTTTTTGAGGGTTTAGGGTTCCTTTATCGGGTTTAAGGGTACCTTGAAGAGCTCTATAAGGGCAGTATTAGGGGCAAGAGTTTTTTGGGGATCTATTGGGGCTGAGAATTCCAGGGCTTAGGGCTTTTGGGGCTTACTATTTATTGAAAGGTTTGTCGGGTTTATGCTTTTGAGGATTGTCGGGCGGGGGATTCCAGGCTTGCAAAAGACTACACGAGGCCTCAATCCACAAAAGGCCAAAACCAAGGAATTCTGGGGACCCTGAGGCTTGGCGTTGACATGCTGCTACACGGTTGCTCCTACGTCCTAGGGTCGAGGTTTTGTTTCCAGCCAGAGTTCGTCGGGCGTAGGGCCTTGGGACAGGATGCTCGGGGCTTTCAGGATTTCGAGGCCTCCGGAATGGAAAGACTTCTCACTCAGACCCCATCTGTCCAATTTCCTAGCAAGCTTCGGCACTAGACGGGCATCCCAAAGCGTTCAACCCGAACCCTAAACCCTAAACCCCTGAACCCTAAACCCCTAAACCCTAAACCCGAAACGACTGGGCCAAAGAGCTGGTATGCCCGAGAGGTCCTGCAGGAGCACGCGGGGCGGTATCCATGCAAACTCGGCCTGGCTTGCAATCCACTGGGATCTCGGCTTTGGGCTTTGGCTTCAGGTGTTGGCAAGGGACAGTGATACCGGTCACAATAGCATCACTCAATTCTGGTGATGAAGATGATGATGGAGATGGCGGTGATGGTGGTGATGGTGGTGATGGTGGTGGTGATGGTGGTGATGGTGGTGATGGTGGTGATGGTGGTGATGGTGGTGATGGTGGTGATGGTGGTGATGGTGGTGATGGTGGTGATGGTGGTGATGGCGGTGATGGCGGTGATGGCGGTGATGGCGGTGATGGCGGTGATGGCGGTGATGGCGGTGATGGTGGTGATGGTGGTGATGGTGGTGATGGTGGTGATGGTGGTGATGGTGGTGATGGTGGTGATGGTGGTGATGGTGGTGATGGTGGTGATGGTGGTGATGGTGGTGATGGTGGTGATGGTGGTGATGGTGGTGATGGTGGTGATGGCGATGGTGATGGTGGTGATGGTGGTGATGGTGGTGATGGTGATCGATGAACGACGATGATACTCGTGTTCGTGATGATGGTTGGAGTGGACGTTTATCGGAGCTGGTTGGGTCATGGATTATCTTGCCAATGGAAACCAGCATAGTCATAATCACCGTAACCAGCAGCATGAATTACTCTAAAAAGATAACATTAAAAATAAATAAACGCGCCTGGCGCACGCAAATTTCCGCTTTAAACACAGATAGACCCGATGTCCGCTGGGCGTGCAAAGAGCTGGCTGGCGGAACAACGAGAACCCCAAAATTAAGCGGCAGCAGCAGCAGCAGCCGCCACCACCACCACCACCACCACCGCCGCCGCCGCCGCCGCCGCCGCCGCCGCCGTCCATAATCATCTTGATTTGTAGGCTGCTTCTACTTCACTATGCTCGGTGTCTCCTGCTGTAGCTTTAACGTCAACATCATCTCATGCCTCGCCATCATCAAAATATTATTCAAGGTCGTCAACACCAAGAGCACATCCAAAGCCACACCAGTCAAGCAGCCACAGCCTTTTGGATCTTATGCCAGAACACTACCAGAACCCATACTCGTAACACCCACTACTACTACTACTACTACTACTACTACTACTACTACTACTACTACTACTACTACTTACTACTACTACTACTACTACTACTACTACTACTACTACTACTACTACTACTACTACTACTACTACTACTACTACTACTACTACCACTCCTGCTGCTGCTGCTACTACTACTACTGCTACTTCTGCAACAGCAAGCACCACTAATGCTGCGATGCTACAGACAACACTAATGCAACCAACACCACCATCATCATCGTCACCATAGCCAAGACAACTCTGAAAGAACTGATCAGGCGTGCCTTGCCAGCTGTATCCTGGAAGCTCAACAATGAGTCGACATGGGCCTCGTTCTTTTTGGCAGGAGCGGATATGATCCTAGGACTGTGCTGCTTGCAGCAGGTAGCTCCCACGACAGGTAGCGCCGCTGTACTTGCAACTGAAAACAAGCATACGTATCTCCATGTACATACACATATACATATACATGTCCTGAACACGTTCGTACAAACTGTACGTAGTTATTCAGCCAGTTCTTGATGACGGTGCGCCTCCGTCACTTTGAGGCCGTCGCAATGTCGTACCGAGGCCTTCCGTGCAGCAGGACGAAGACCCTTCCCAAAAGCACTCAACGTGGTGGCCTGACTAAGGGTTCTACGTGATCATATTACTATGCACCGACTATACGATATCACCCAGATGCGAAACACTAAAACAACTCCCCGGCTCCAGCAGCCCGAAGCACAGGCACCTCAAGTTGCAGAAGCCCCCCCCCGCCCCCAGACATCGCATTCCAGTATCTTCCAGCTTCGAAGTCGCCTCTACCCAGAGCCTCCAAAACACCTCAATTAAGGAATATACCTTAAATCATATTAAGGATCCTCTTATAATTGAAGGCATATTCCTTAATTCATGTGTTTTGGAGGCTCTGGGGACCCCACAGCCCTAGATCCGAAGCCCCAAGAACGCAGGGAGCTTTGCTCTGAAGGCCCCCGGAGCCTAGCCCTTCACCCTGCCTTCCCCAATCCCAAACCCCTAAAGTAGAAGCCAGAAGGTTGGAATGTGATAATCCTAAACCCTTTATGGCAAATTATAGGGGATCCTACCCTGAAACCATATTCCAACTTTCCGGACTTCCCTTTAAGCCCTAAACCTTCAACAGCCGAAACCATAAACCTGGTAGAGAATAAACGCGAAACCGTAAACCCTAAACATCCTGAACTCATAAACCCCTTAAACCAAAACTCGGAACCCCTACACACTACAGAACCGCTGAAAAAAAACACCGTGAAGAAGCCTCTCCCTTAACAAACCAATCAAGTAAAAGCAGGCCCTAACGAACCGTTCAAGAACTAAACCCTAAACCCCCCCCCATAAGGCTTTTTGAGGCTCCTCCAAAAGGATTCGAACGCTCAGCGGCAGCTTTCTCACCCTGGGATCACCCAGCTTCTCCAAGGAGAGGAACCTTGTCTTCGAGGTATTTAGGGTTTAGGGTTCGGGGTTTTGGGGGTTTAGGGTTTAGGCATTTAGGGGTTGAGGGGGGTTTAGGGGTTTAGGGGTTTAGGGTTCAGGGGTTCAGGGGTTTAGGGGTTTAGGGTTCAGGGGTTTGTATAATAGAAGCAGCCAGAAAGTTGAAACATAATCCTCACGCCCCTGAAGTAAAGCATAGGGAATCCCAGCGCTGATCATCCTTAATCCATGTTCCAACTTCCTGGGGTTCACTGTAGGGCTGCAGGGGATTCATCCAACGCGTCCCTCAAAGGGCTATGGGATCTTTAAGGGCCTTAAAGGCTTGTGGTTCTTTTTTTTTTGGGGGGGGGTTGTACGGTTTAGGTTTTAGAACCCAAACTCCTAAACCCGGAACCCTAAACCCTAAACCCCTAAACCCCGAAACCCCCAAACTCTAAACCTCTAAACCCCTAAACCCCCCTAAACCCCCGTAAACCCTAAACCCTAAACCCCGAAACCCCGAAACCCCTAAACCCCAAACCCTAAACCCCTAAACCCCTAAAACCCCTAAACCCGGAAGCTTAAACCCTAAATGCAGCATCGGCAGCTTAAGCCCGGAAGGCAACGTCGCCCAGCAGCGCTCGGCGATGCGACGCATGGCTTCCAGGCGCCCAGCTCCAAAGCTCCGAAATCTTTCAGAACACGGGGTTTAGGGGTTTAGGGGTTTGGGGGGTTTAGGGTTTTAGGGGTTTAGGGGTTTAGGGTTTAGGGGTTTAGGGGTTTAGGGTTTAGGGTTTTAGGGCTCAGGGCTTTTAGGGTTCAAGTTTTCAGGGTTTAGCGGTTAGGGTAGGGGTTAAGGGTTGAGGGTTTACGGGCGAGGTGACTCGGGTTTAGGTGGAACATGGGGTTAAGTGTTTTAGGATGCTCTAGGGTGTTTTGAGCTCTGCTTTGGGGGGCTTGGGGTTTGAAGGGTCTGTGTGGTGCTTAGGGCTTGGGGTTTGCGGTTTGGAGTTTATGGTTTGCGGTTGGGTGGCAGAAGAAGTCTCTGGGTTGTAAGGCTCTGAGGTCTAGGATACCAAAAAATGCAAACAAGCCTGACTGCA